AATGTTCTAAAATTTCTGTTTGCAAAACTATATGTAGAAATGAGCAACAATAAAAATCTCTCTGTGGCGGTCGTGGCGAGCGGACGTGTTTGCGGACAGCGCCCGGTCGGCCAACCAGACGAACAACTAAAAAAATTTTTACAAGTGTCTTTATTTCTGCCAGTAAATTATAATTAAAATTAAATTAAATAAAATGCTGGTGCCAAACAATTAAAAATAATAAAGTTTAAACAAATAAACTGCCAATCAGCATTTTTAAATGCTAAAAATAAATTCAAAAAAAAAAAAAAAAAAAAATTATTAAATTAAAGCCACAATGGAGAGAAAAAAGTGAAAAACTAATAAAATAAAGTATTCTAACAAATTAAATACGGCCAATCAGCATTTTTAAATGCTAAACAATAAAATAAATAAATAAATAAAATTAAATATATAAAACCTAACCTGTGTGCTGTATATATACTTATATACAGCTGAGCAGCAACATATTGTTAATTCTATTAACAAAAGAAGCCATCACAGACGAGATACCTGACGACAGCGAGGGAAAACTACGCCAAAAAAAACTCATAAATATATACATAATGATATGTATATAAGGCAAAAAAGGGCAAGTACATAGACAAGTAAATAAGGAAAAAAATGCGCGAAAAGGCGGCGTCCAAGCCGGCGGCCATTGCTGCATCCAAAGCTACAAAAGCTATAGCCCCCCCCCATACCCCGGCACCTGTTGCTGAAAATGTCGCCATTGGCGCACCAATACAGCTGCAGCTGCAGCATCACCAGCAGCAGCTTACAGCTCAACACCAGCAACGGCACCAGCTACCCAAGCAGCAGCAACAACATCAACGCCAGCTGAAACGGAGAAAGCCGAAGCCGAAGCACAAGAGAGCGCCAATGCTCTCTACGGCTCAGTCGCTGTCGACGCTTGCGTCGGCAGAAGCGCCAATCGAGCGTTTGAGTGTCGGCAGCAGAGCGGCATCGAACACGAGCAAATTCAGCAGCAGCAGCAGCTATGAACGTAGTGAGAGCGATCATGGCAACACGTTCGTCTCGAGCTGCGAACAAAATGTTGAGAGCGACAGTATGGGGCTACAGCAACATGTTGTTAGAGCGCAAGTTCATAGCAACATGCTTGCTGATAGCCCAACCAATTCTGACTCAGAAATTATCTGTGTCACACATAGCCAGGAAATGGAGGAAATTAATAAAAATAAAAATATTAATAAAAATAATGCCGATGCTGCTCCATCGGCTAGTCAATTAATTCCTAATAATTATGCGGGAATGATGCCAGCTGAAATTATGCAAGTTTCAGAAAATGAACTAGAGGCGAGTGGGCAACAATCGCTGCCAATAAATGAGGATATGTTGGGTACTAGAATCTGTGGATCACCCAAAGCCAATACGGTCATTAAACGACCTATTAAGCGCAAATTCTCACCAACTATGCCAGCGAATAAGAGTGACAAGCGTGCACTACTATTAGCATACGCTGAGTATATTACGAACGCAGACAGTGTCAGGGATACTCCTTCGTATTCTGATTTCTTTAAATCAAATACAGCCAATAAAGTATCGGACAATCTGTCAAGCGACAATAATATACCAGCAGCTAAAGCTAGAAAGAGCACGCAGTCAAATAATGGCACGAATGTTGGCAAAACTAACAATGCTACATTCGTTGCTAACGACAACAACAACGAGGACAGTGATGACATTGACATCATGGAAGTTGAAGACGAGGCAACAGATTGCAATCCAAATGTAATCTCTGGTCAGACAATGCAGCTGAATCTAGCTCAACGGGTCAAGGTGCCCACCATATACCTGCCCAATATTGATGATATTCAAAGAATTATCAAAGATATCTCAAATAATGTGGGTGCTAATAAGTTTGCTACTAAAAGTACGCAGACAGGTGGTGTGAGAGTGCAATGTGCGGACATTGAGGCATACAATGCAACAATTGCGTTGCTTGATGCCTCTAATGTTCACCGGCACACCCATCAAATGCGCAATGAGCGCGGATTTAGAATCATTATTCGCCATTTACACCACACAACTCCATGCGACTGGGTACGCATGGAATTGCGAAGATTGGGGCATGAGGTTAGGTATGTGGGCGTGATAAAACAACGCTTCACTGCCAAACCGACCAATACGTTCGAAATTGAGCTAGTGAAAAACGAGAACAACACTAAGATACTGGAATTGAAACAACTTGGCAGCCAGGAAATCAAAGTGGAGAGGCAGCGGAAGCGCACTGATCCTGTTCAGTGCCACCGTTGCCAGGCATACGGGCATAGTAAAAACTATTGCCGACGACCATTTGTATGCCTTAAATGCGGACAAGGACACCCGACCACGACATGCTCCAAGACAAGAGGCGAGCCTTCAAAGTGCGCCAATTGTCAGGGCCAGCATGTAGCCAATTATAAAGGCTGCAAAGCTTTTAAAGATGAGCGAGCTAGGCTATCAGCAAACCGGGCACGAGTCATGCCCATCCAGCACGAGCACAAGCAGCCATCAGTCAATAAGCGTCAACATGGAACGCAAAACGTGGTGTCCAACCAGGACCGTGAACAACATCAGCAGCAGAAGAACCAGAAGATGCAAAGCAACATTGCCAACTCGACGATGACTTATAGTCAGGTGACCAGCGGGCGAGTCAATACAGGTCGGATGCATAATCCGGCCATGCAACACCTCCTAAAGTTCCAGAAGAAACTTCAGATGGAACAAGAGGAAGAGCGCCAGAAAAATCAATCAGGAGCGGCGAATGCTTCAAACACAACAGGCGCTAGTCATCATCAGCAGCAGCAGCAGCAAAAGCAACATAAAAATAAGCAACGGCAACAAAAAGAAAGCCAAGAGCCGGTCAATAATGCAGCCATTGATGCTTTAAATAGCAACATGGCTGCTATTATGCAAATGACCACGAAATTGGACCAAGTAGTTGCACTACTTTTGAAAATAGTGGCCAAAAATAATATTAATGCATATCCTGCAACCAAATTGCACGGAACAGCCACTAGGACGCTAGCTAGTTTAACGGCTAGTAGCTCCTCAGACGCCAATGATACTCGAAATGAGTAAAAAAAGTAATATGCTGAGATACGGCCATAGAGTGAAGGAGCTTACAACAAACTCTCGAAACATACAATTCATAAACAATTCAGAATATAGCAGATTTACTCCAAATCGGATAACTGCATTCAATATTGATAAAATCAGCGAAAAATTCATATACTCAAAAATGGCTTTCAGCCGTACTATAGATAAGGCGACTATAATAAAGTGCCTATTATCGGACCCAGAAGCTATCTGTTTACTAAGCAAATGCGTCAGTCATGACATTCAAGCAGCCTTGGAAAGCTATTTTAATTTTAGCACCAAGGATGCTATCGAAACTACAAATTACTTACTAGAGTATTCTACTGAATATGTTTCTCCTCCACTCAGCCGTAGCCAAAAAGGCAACTCAAATGCTAAATATTACAGAGGGCACACGCTGCTACGCGCATCAATAGCGCGTAGTAAAAACAAACACAGCGTGCCCAAAAATTCCAAGCATGTTACTCAGATGGATAACTTAGAGTTGCCATCTGAAAATAATTCAAAAGTAGTACAATCACCTTTTACCCAACAGACATCAATGCACTCTGTGCAACACAAACTGCTGACTGACAAAGTACCGCAGCCACCAACACTTACTCACCTCAAACAGACAATAACAAACAAACTGACAACACTGGACACAAACACGGACTGTTATGATATTCAAAATTTTATTAAATTGCAGAACAATCCCACTAGAGACCAGCCCACTCCGCCGCCTACATGGCAGCAGCAGAAGCATCTCCAACTCCAATACATATGCCAGCCCATGCACTGGGCTCAGCATCAGCAGCATAAGCAGCTCTCTGCTGAGCATAATATGAGCATCGGGCTGCAACATCATCCACTAGTCCAGCAAACTGCCATCTGGGGGCTTCAGAACCAGCAACAATGGTCGACATTGGCCAAAAATGACCAGAAATTGCAGCAGCCTGACCTTTGGGGACACCAGCTGCAGCGACAATGGTCTATGGTGGCCCAAACGGACTCCATGGGCCAACAGAAGAATCAGCCAATACAGCTGCACCAATACATAGGCGTGCAGCCACAAAAAAATCGATTGACGGTCACCAAGACAGCCTCTACAGACTGTCAACCATATCCGCCAATCCAACTGCACGCCTACGTACCAGAGCAGCTACAGAAGCTATGGTCGACGGTGGACATACCGGATTCATTTGGCCAGCAACAGCAGCTACAAACACAATTGCCTCACCTACAGCCTTCTCCAATGGAGCAACAGCTCCCGCAGCTACAGCCGATGGCATCCACCACGCCCTTATTTGGGCACCTGCAACGCCCGCTAAATCCGCAGCCTGTCCTTATGGGGCAGCAGAACCAGCAGCGCTGGTCAATAGGAGCCTCCAGTGCCGCCTATGGTCACCAGCAGCAGCCGCAAAATCTGCAGCCTCGTCCATGGGGGCAGCAAGAACAGCAGCGATGGTCAATTGGAGCCTCCAATGCCTCCTATGACCACCAGCAGCAGCCGCAAAATCCTCAGTCCGTGCTATGGGGACAGCCGAGCATGCAGCAACAGCCGACGGCATCCACCACGCCCTCATTTGGGCACCAGCAGCAGCCGCAAAATCTGCAGCCTCGTCCATGGGAGCAGCAAGAACAGCAGCGATGGTCAATAGGAGCCTCCAGTGCCGCCTATGGTCACCAGCAGCAGCCGCAAAATCTGCAGCCCCTCCTATGGGAGCAGCAGAACCAGCAGCAAAGGTCAATACGAGCCTCCAGTGCCGCCTATGGACACCAGGAGCAGCCGCAAAATCCTCGGTCCGTCCTATGGGGACAGCTGAGCACGCAGCAACAGCCGACGGCATCCACCACGCCCTCATTTGGGCACCAGCAGCAGCCGCAAAATCTGCAGCCTCGTCTATGGGGGCAGCAAGCACAGCAGCGATGGTCAATAGGAGCCTCCAATGCCTCCTATGGTCACCAGCAACGCCCGCCAAATCTGCAGCCGAACGTGCAACAGCAGCCGACGACAGCCGCCACGCCCACCTACGGGCTCAAGCGCGAGCCTCAAAATGCACAATCTGTACCTGAGTACAGGCAGACACAACAGCATCAGTCGACGGCGTCCTCACTGGACTCACTTGGCACTAAAAAGCAGCCACTTATTGAGCATACAGTCCTTAAGGGGCAGCAGCTTCTCCAGCAATGGGACATTGTGGTCAAAACGGCCTCCCTTGGCCAGACGCAGCGACTCCAAATTGAGCAGAATGCCCAGCCGGGCATGCATCTGCACAACACGCACCGCACGACGGTGGTCACTACGGCAAATAAATGCCACCAAATCCAGCTGAAAATGGCGCAAACTGCCAAATTGGAGCGGCGACGAAGATGCAGGCGTAGGATGACTACCCAGACGCCATCTATCCAGCCCAGCAGACGCCGTACCTGCAATAAAAACAGAAAAGTTAAAATATGCAAATTGCAAAAAATGCCATGTATCCACCTACCTGCACAAATGGACCAGCGAATGCGTCAGCGGCCTGCTCAGCACACACGGAAGCCGGCGAAACGTCATCCACTCGACGCCGAGTGGCCAGACACAGCGCCACCCGTACGTGCAAAAATCATGCAGCGCAGGCTGCATATCACTCCGCCCTCGGGCAAAAACAGGCGCGATAACACGGCGATCCGCTATCCATGCATCCTGGGTGTGTGGATGGTGTTGCTCATTGCCAGTCATCCGCTCCAGCAGCTGAAGTCATGCCCCTCCAAAGCGATGCAACTTCCAGCAGATGTAGCGGCAGCCATCACGCAATGCAAATTGCAAATTTATGCGACAATAAGTCGGCCAGGTACCAGGTGGAGGCCAATTGTCCACCGCAAGGCCAGAGGCAGACGGCCAGCGCATCGTAAGGCGGTGCGATATAAAATAAATTAATTAATTAGATTATTTAGCCATAAAATTGTTAAATTTAAAATTCTTGTCCACTTACATGTCTTTAGCGTGCCCAATTGATACTTATGTTATTCTTGCCATTCACACGACAGCATTGCCAGCTGATCGTGCATAAATTTCCCCCAGCGAACTGACCTACGACAATAATGTTAATCGAACAGAGTCTGTTATGTCATGTTATGTTTAAATGTAGGTCAGTCGAGATTAAATGTTAAATGTATCTCCCCCGCCATGTCCCTCTCCACCTTGCAAACTGGAGATCGTTGCATAGTTTTAAGTGCTCCCATAAATGTTCTAAAATTTCTGTTTGCAAAACTATATGTAGAAATGAGCAACAATAAAAAAATCTCTCTGTGGCGGTCGTGGCGAGCGGACGTGTTTGCGGACAGCGCCCGGTCGGCCAACCAGACGAACAACTAAAAAAATTTTTACAAGTGCCTTTATTTCTGCCAGTAAATTAAAATTAAATTAAATAAAATAAAATAAATAAAATAAAATGCTTGTGCCAAACAATCAAAGTAAGTAAATCAAAAGTAATAAAGTTTAAACAAATAAACTGCCAATCAGCATTTTTAAATGCTAAAAATAAATTCAAAAAAAAAAAAAATTAAATTAAAGCCACAATGGAGAGAAAAAAAGTGAAAAACTAATAAAATAAAGTATTCTAACAAATTAAATACGGCCAATCAGCATTTTTAAATGCTAAACAATAAAATAAAATAAATAAATAAAATTAAATATATAAAACCTAACCTGTGTGCTGTATATATACTTATATACAGCTGAGCAGCAACATATTGTTAATTCTATTAACAAAAGAAGCCATCACAGACGAGATACCTGACGACAGCGAGGGAAAACTACGCCAAAAAAAACTCATAAATATATACATAATGATATGTATATAAGGCAAAAAGGGCAAGTACATAGACAAGTAAATAAGGAAAAAATGCGCGAAAAGGCGGCGTCCAAGCCGGCGGCCATTGCTGCATCCAAAGCTACAAAAGCTATAGCCCCCCCCCATACCCCGGCACCTGTTGCTGAAAATGTCGCCATTGGCGCACCAATACAGCTGCAGCTGCAGCATCAGCAGCAGCAGCTTACAGCTCAACACCAGCAACGGCACCAGCTACCCAAGCAGCAGCAACAACATCAACACCAGCTGAAACGGAGAAAGCCGAAGCCGAAGCACAAGAGAGCGCCAATGCTCTCTACGGCTCAGTCGCTGTCGGCGCTTGCGTCGGCAGAAGCGCCAATCGAGCGTTTGAGTGTCGGCAGCAGAGCGGCATCGAACACGAGCAAATTCAGCAGCAGCAGCAGCTATGAACGTAGTGAGAGCGATCATGGCAACATGTTCGTCTCGAGCTGCGAACAAAATGTTGAGAGCGACAGTATGGGGCTACAGCAACATGTTGTTAGAGCGCAAGTTCATAGCAACATGCTTGCTGATAGCCCAACCAATTCTGGCTCAGAAATTATCTGTGTCACACATAGCCAGGAAATGGAGGGAATTAATAAAAATAATGCCGATGCTGCTCCATCGGCTAGTCAATTAATTCCTAATAATTATGCGGGAATGATGCCAGCTGAAATTATGCAAGTTTCAGAAAATGAACTGGAGGCGAGTGGGCAACAATCGCTGCCAATAAATGAGGATATGTTGGGTACTAGAATCTGTGGATCACCCAAAGCCAATACGGTCATTAAACGACCTATTAAGCGCAAATTCTCACCAACTATGCCAGCGAATAAGAATGACAAGCGTGCACTACTATTAGCATACGCTCAGTATATTACGAACGCAGACAGTGTCAGGGATACTCCTTCGTATTCTGATTTCTTTAAATCAAATACAGCCAATAAAGTATCCGACAATCTGTCAAGCGACAATAATATACCAGCAGCTAAAGCTAGAAAGAGCACGCAGACAAATAATGGCACGAATGTTGGCAAAACTAACAATGCTACATTCGTTGCTAACGACAACAACAACGAGGACAGTGATGACATTGACATCATGGAAGTTGAAGACGAGGCAACAGATTGCAATCCAAATGTAATCTCTGGTCAGACAATGCAGCTGAATCTAGCTCAACGGGTCAAGGTGCCCACCATATACCTGCCCAATATTGATGATATTCAAAGAATTATCAAAGATATCTCAAATAATGTGGGTGCTAATAAGTTTGCTACTAAAAGTACGCAGACAGGTGGTGTGAGAGTGCAATGTGCGGACATTGAGGCATACAATGCAACAATTGCGTTGCTTGATGCCTCTAATGTTCACCGGCACACCCATCAAATGCGCAATGAGCGCGGATTTAGAATCATTATTCGCCATTTACACCACACAACTCCATGCGACTGGGTACGCATGGAATTGCGAAGATTGGGGCATGAGGTTAGGTATGTGGGCGTGATAAAACAACGCTTCACTGCCAAACCGATCAATACGTTCGAAATTGAGCTAGTGAAAAACGAGAACAACACTAAGATACTGGAACTGAAACAACTTGGCAGCCAGGAAATCAAAGTGGAGAGGCAGCGGAAGCGCACTGATCCTGTTCAGTGCCACCGTTGCCAGGCATACGGGCATAGTAAAAACTATTGCCGACGACCATTTGTATGCCTTAAATGCGGACAAGGACACCCGACCACGACATGCTCCAAGACAAGAGGCGAGCCTTCAAAGTGCGCCAATTGTCAGGGCCAGCATGTAGCCAATTATAAAGGCTGCAAAGCTTTTAAAGATGAGCGAGCTAGGCTATCAGCAAACCGGGCACGAGTCATGCCCATCCAGCACGAGCGCAAGCAGCCATCAGTCAATAAGCGTCAACATGGAACGCAAAACGTGGTGTCCAACCAGGACCGTGAACAACATCAGCAGCAGAAGAACCAGAAGATGCAAAGCAACATTGCCAACTCGACGATGACTTATAGTCAGGTGACCAGCGGGCGAGTCAATACTGGTCGGATGCATAATCCGGCCATGCAACACCTACTCAAGTTCCAGAAGAAGCTTCAGATGGAACAAGAGGAAGAGCGCCAGAAAAATCAAACAGGAGCAGCGAATGCTTCAAACACAACAGGCGCTAGACATCACCAGCAGCATCAGCAGCAGCAAAAGCAACACAAAAATAAGCAACGGCAACAAAGAGAAAGCCAAGAGCCGGTCAATAATGCAGCCATTGATGCTTTAAATAGCAACATGGCTGCAATTATGCAAATGACTACGAAATTGGACCAAGTAGTTGAACTACTTTTGAAAATAGTGGCCAAAAACAAAATTAATGCATATCCTGCAACCAAATTGCACGGAACAGCCACTAGGACGCTAGCTAGTTTAACGGCTAGTAGCTCCTCAGACGCCAATGATACTCGAAATGAGTAATACAAGAGACACTATGATAAACGGCCAGCGAGTGAGGGAGTACATAAAAAACTCTCGGAACAAACAAACTTTCACTAATTTAGAAACAGGCAGAGCCGCAACCTATCCCTTAAAACAAGGTAATCGGCTACCTGCGTTTAACTTTGCAAACATCGACAATTATGCCAATGATCAACAACTGGCTATCGGCCAGCCCACTAATAAGGCGAATATTAAAAAACGCTATCTAGAATATACAGAATCTATCGACGAAATAAACAATCATATATATAATGATATGCAAGCAGCCTTGGAGTTTGAATTTAACTTCAACTCTGAGGATGCAATCGAATTTTTAAATGAATTATTCACTCATAATCAACATGGTACTCCCCCACGCAGCCGTAGCCAAAAAGGCAAATCATATGTCAAACAATATAGAGGGCACACGCTGCTACGCGCACCTATAGTGCGTAGTAAAAATAAATATAGCGTGCCCAAAACAAATTGGCAGTCTACTCAGGTGTCCAACTTAGAATGGACACCAAAAGACAACAAAGTTCAACTACCAACTACTCAACAGACACTCATGCACAATGTGCAACAAAATCAACTGACTGATGACCTAGAAATTGACAATCTGCAGCCAGCTGACCCACTAGTCGAACATATCTTCAATGTCTTGGAGAAAAAACTTGTACGGGACGTAGATAATACGGACCCGCACGAAAAACTTATGCTTGAGAACCTGTTGCAGGGTATGATGCAACTAGGTAACAATTACGAAGCCAAGCAACCACTAACTGACAGCGAGCACTGTCGGACAGAACAATACAAACTGACAAATTCGGACTCGACCACGGACATAAACTCTAATTCAAATCTGAATACATTCCAGACTTCACTTACCCAATATTGGCCTATCCAGCGGCCTGAAGGGCATCCACAGCACCAGCAACTCCATTCGGCGAAACAGCAGCCGACGGCATCCACCACGCCCTTATTTGGGCACCAGCAGCAGCCGCAAAATCCGCAGCCTCTCCTATGGGAGCAGCAAGAACAGCAGCGATGGTCAATTGGAGCCTCCAGTGCCGCCTATGGTCACCAGCAGCAGCCGCAAAATCCTCAGTCCGTGCTATGGGGACAGCCGAGCATGCAGCAACAGCCGACGGCATCCACCACGCCCTCATTTGGGCACCAGCAGCAGCCGCAAAATCTGCAGCCTCGTCCATGGGAGCAGCAAGAACAGCAGCGATGGTCAATAGGAGCCTCCAGTGCCGCCTATGGTCACCAGCAGCAGCCGCAAAATCTGCAGCCCCTCCTATGGGAGCAGCAGAACCAGCAGCAAAGGTCAATACGAGCCTCCAGTGCCGCCTATGGACACCAGGAGCAGCCGCAAAATCCTCGGTCCGTCCTATGGGGACAGCTGAGCACGCAGCAACAGCCGACGGCATCCACCACGCCCTCATTTGGGCACCAGCAGCAGCCGCAAAATCTGCAGCCTCGTCTATGGGGGCAGCAAGCACAGCAGCGATGGTCAATAGGAGCCTCCAATGCCTCCTATGGTCACCAGCAACGCCCGCCAAATCTGCAGCCGAACGTGCAACAGCAGCCGACGACAGCCGCCACGCCCACCTACGGGCTCAAGCGCGAGCCTCAAAATGCACAATCTGTACCTGAGTACAGGCAGACACAACAGCATCAGTCGACGGCGTCCTCACTGGACTCCCTTGGCACTAAAAAGCAGCCCCTTATTGATCATCCAGTCCTTAAGGGGCACCAGCTTCTCCAGCAATGGGACATTGTGGTCAAAACGGCCTCCCTTGGCCAGACGCAGCGACTCCAAATTGAGCAGAATGCCCAGCCGGACACGCAGCTGCACAACACGCACCAATTGACGGTGGCCACTACGGCAAATAAATGCCACCAAATCCAGCTGAAAATAGCACAAACTGCCAAATTGGAGCGGCGACGAAGATGCAGGCGAAGGATGACCACCCAGAGGACATCTATCCAGCCCAGCAGACGCCGTACCTGCAAGCAATGCAAAAATCTGAAAATATGCAAATTGCAAAAAATGCCATTTATTCACTTACCTGCACAAATGGACCAGCGAATGCGCCAGCGGCCTGCTCAGCACACACGGAAGCCGGCGAAACGTCATCCACTCGACGCCGAGTGGCCAGACACAGCGCCACCCGTACGTGCAAAAATCATGCAGCGCAGGCTGCATATCACTCCGCCCTCGGGCAAAAACAGGCGCGATAACACGGCGATCCGCTATCCATGCATCCTGGGTGTGTGGATGGTGTTGCTCATTGCCAGTCATCCGCTCCAGCAGCTGAAGTCATGCCCCTCCAAAGCGATGCAACTTCCAGCAGATGTAGCGGCAGCCATCACGCAATGCAAATTGCAAATTTATGCGACAATAAGTCGGCCAGGTACCAGGTGGAGGCCAATTGTCCACCGCAAGGCCAGAGGCAGACGGCCAGCGCATCGTAAGGCGGTGCGATATAAAATAAATTAATTAATTAGATTATTTAGCCATAAAATTGTTAAATTTAAAATTCTTGTCCACTTACATGTCTTTAGCGTGCCCAATTGATACTTATGTTATTCTTGCCATTCACACGACAGCATTGCCAGCTGATCGTGCATAAATTTCCCCCAGCGAACTGACCTACGACAATAATGTTAATCGAACAGAGTCTGTTATGTTATGTTATGTCCAAATGTAGGTCAGTCGAGATTAAATGTTAAATGTATCTCCCCCGCCATGTCCCTCTCCACCTTGCAAACTGGAGATCGTTGCATAGTTTTAAGTGCTCCCATAAATGTTCTAAAATTTCTGTTTGCAAAACTATATGTAGAAATGAGCAACAATAAAAAATCTCTCTGTGGCGGTCGTGGCGAGCGGACGTGTTTGCGGACAGCGCCCGGTCGGCCAACCAGACGAACAACTAAAAAAAAAAAAATTTTTACAAGTGCCTTTATTTCTGCCAGTAAATTAAAATTAAATTAAATAAAAATTAAATAAAATAAAATGCTTGTGCCAAACAATTAAAAGTAATAAAGTTTAAACAAATAAACTGCCAATCAGCATTTTTAAATGCTAAAAATAAATTCAAAAAAAAAAATTTATTAAATTAAAGCCACAATGGAGAGAAAAAAAGTGAAAAACTAATAAAATAAAGTATTCTAACAAATTAAATACGGCCAATCAGCATTTTTAAATGCTAAACAATAAAATAAATAAATAAATAAAATTAAATATATAAAACCTAACCTGTGTGCTGTATATATACTTATATACAGCAGAGCAGCAACATATTGTTAATTTTATTAACAAAAGAAGCCATCACAGACGAGATACCTGACGACAGCGAGGGAAAACTACGCCAAAAAAAAAACTCATAAATATATACATAATGATATGTATATAAGGCAAAAAGGGCAAGTACATAGACAAGTAAATAAGGAAAAAATGCGCGAAAAGCCGGCGTCCAAGCCGGCGGCCATTGCTGCATCCAAAGCTACAAAAGCTATAGCCCCCCCCCATACCCCGGCACCTGTTGCTGAAAATGTCGCCATTGGCGCACCAATACAGCTGCAGCTGCAGCATCAGCAGCAGCAGCTTACAGCTCAACACCAGCAACGGCACCAGCTACCCAAGCAGCAGCAACAACACCAGCTGAAACGGAGAAAGCCGAAGCCGAAGCACAAGAGAGCGCCAATGCTCTCTACGGCTCAGTCGCTGTCGGCGCTTGCGTCGGCAGAAGCGCCAATCGAGCGTTTGAGTGTCGACAGCAGAGCGGCATCGAACATGAGCAAATTCAGCAGCAGCAGCAGCTATGAACGTAGTGAGAGCGAACATGACAACAAGTTCGACTCAAACTGTCATGAACATGCACTGAGTGCAAACATGGGGCCTCAGCAACATGTTGCTAAGGTGCAAGCCATTAGCAACATGCTTGCTGACAGACCAGCCAATCCAGACTCAGATTTACTCTGCGTCTTAAAATCCCATATTATATGGATGGATTCAGCATTTTGCAGAAATGTTGAACTACAGCCACTGGACATATTATGCCCATACATCCAAAAGCTAGCTAGCAATTATGCTAGCTCATCCAATGCCGCCAATGACAATAGTGATGTCTAACAGCCAATCCGTATATACAAACAATTTTAATGCCAATACAATAAATAATAATAATAACAATTTAGCCACTCCTGCCATGGACAACGACAACATAACCATTGCCAACAACTATGGGACTCATGCCACTATCACCCAATACGGCCACAAACTCAAGATGGCCTATTGGAATGCTGCGGGCATATCCAATAAATCAAGAGAAATGGAAGCCTTTATGCACCATCATAATGTAGACATTATGATGGTCATTGAAATACGACAAGGAACCAACCGCCAATCAAACCCAATCCGAGATATTCATGCGAACAACGCCCCACTAAACATTGATGGTTACCACACATATGTAGCTAAGCGACGCGCTCCAAATCAAAGATCTGGAGGCGTCGCTACACTAGTAAGACATGGCATCAAGCATATTGGTCTGGAACCAATAATGTATGATGCCGTTCAATGTGCACCAGTTGCCATCACCCTTAGTATACAGGAAACAATAGTAGTCACTCCTATATATTGCCCTCCGCAATATAAATGGACGGCAGACAACTTTGACAAGCTTCTCTGCCACATTGATAGCCTGAGTCCACATGGATTTATCATATGTGGTGACTGGAATGCCAAAAGTATATGGTGGGGCAACACGCGACACTGCCAGCGAGGGAGGGAATTATTGAGAACCATACACACAAACAAAAACTTTAACATATTAGCGACCGGCGGTGCCACTCATTATCCCTATGCTCGAGGGAATAAACCATCTGCAATAGATTTTGCAATATACGGTGGCATCAGAGACAGGCGATTACGAACATACTCAACCATCGATCTGAACTCTGATCACCTGCCTATTCACATTGATATGGCTATCGGCCAGACACTTGAGAAAATCAATGCTAAAAACAAAATTTTGCCACGACATGCAAACATTAAGAAATTTAAAAGAATTCTAAATGAAAATCTACGATTAAACATCGTTATCAATTCCGGAACTGACATCGAGGATGCCATCGACATCCTATATGAAAAAATAAGGAATGCAGCCATAACTGCTACGCCCCCTCCCCGCAGAAGACGGCAACAATTGTACAACACAAGTCGCATGAGATACGGCCGCTTCAAAATAAGCGCAGAAACACTAAGGCAAATACGCAAAAAAAGGCAACTCAAACTCTCTTACATGCTACTACGTACACCACTAGCACGCAGCTTATACAGGCAGGCACAAAACCGCCTAAATAGATTACTACGACGTGATAAGATTAATAACCTTAACCGTCAAATCGCGAACATTAACGATACAGACACAAATCGTACGCAACAACTATGGAGGACAACTAACTCTATTAAAAGACAGCCAGAGCCGAATCGTCCCTTAAAAATTAAGCCTGGCACCACTACACCTCTTGTCAATGGTATGCAAAGCAGTAACAACAATATAGAATGGACTAAAACAAACAAACGAAAGGCTGAAGTCTTTGCAGAATATTTAGAACAAAGATTCAGCTTAAATTTAACGAATACGGCTGAAGAGCGATCACAAATCAGCAATGAGGTGAATCAATTTATGCTTCTCCAGCAGCAGCAGCAGCAGCATGAGCAACCAAATACTCCGCCATTTCGCCCAGTCTCAGATAAGGAGGTAAGCCAAGTGATTGCCGCCTTGACGCTAAAAAAGACGCCGGGCATTGACAACATTAGCAATCACGTCATCAAATCACTTCCGCACAAAGCAATTATATACCTCACAAATATATTTAACTGCATACTTAGGCACGGACATTTCCCGCGCCAATGGAAATGCGCAGAAATTAAGATGGTGCTAAAACCTGGAAAACCTACGGAGGAGGTCAGCTCCTACCGGCCAATAAGCCTGT